GGGTGACAGTGGCTGTTGATGAGATACTCACTGGTATTGGAGAAAACACTGTGATGGCCTGTTCTGCGTCAGGAATCCCCCACCCAGAGATCTGGTGGTACAAAGGTACATTTAACAAGAAGCTTTTTCAAGTAAATTTGACACGCATAGTATTATCCTATAAGCTGCGCACCTAAAAGTATTCAATTTTATCAAACGCCGACAGTGCGCCCTATAATCCGATATGGCTTGTATATGGATCGATATTCTGATTTCTTGGACGTAGTATTTTGAATGTTCTGTCAAGTGCTTTGTTACAGCGGCAGCAGTTGTGAAAGTTCTATTTAAGTAAATCTGTATTGTTTTGTATTGTATTGTATTGTATTCTCTTTAGTGTAGCTCCATCTAGTGAATGCATAACGTGACCTCAGCCACTATCGTAGCTTCTATTCTATGTGCCTTATAATGCGGTGCACCCTATATATGAAAACTGTTTTAAAATATGCCATTCATTGAAAGAGGCCTGATACTCTGAAGAGCCTAATAGTGCGAAAAATATGGTAGTTTAGTTACACAAGACTTGTGGAATGAAGCCACAACTTTCAGGTTTGGAGACAGCTACTCTATAACCTGAGCCATGCCGTTCCGACTGTGTTTTAGTTAGCCTATTGCTGGTGTCAGACATGATACTCGTACCTCCAAAAACAGACCATTTTTGAGTTCTACGTATTGGAGACTACAACTAACATATGGCTTCGTTGGTAAAGTGGTTGTCTTCCAACCTGAAGGTTGTGGGTTTGTTCCTCAACCCTTGAGTGACTTTATTTTAAAATAAACTATTACTGTGCAGTCGCTGGTGGTTTAGTAGTACACTCGCCTGACTTGTCTGTGGGCAGTGTGGGATCGGTTCCCACTCTGTGATGGTGTGGATGTGGGTGTGAATGGCCGTTTGTCTCTATGTGTGCCCTGAGACTGACTGGCGACCAGTTCAGGGTGTAGTTTGCCTTCCGCCCAAAGTCAGCTGGGATAGGCTCCAGCAATTCCTCGCAACCCCCTGTTCAGGATAAATTCAATTAAAAGTGAGGCGCGCTTGGCAAGTGGCAACATAATATGGCTACCAGTGGCTTCACTTCTCGCAATGGTGACTAACAGCATTGTTAGTCCATTCAAATAGACTGTAGACTAAGGAATTGTCACATGATTAAACTCAGAAACCAGGTGAGCCATGATTCGTGCGCCCTTAAGCACTGTGACGTCATTATCAGCCGACAGCAAGACGGCAAAATGGCCACCCCCTGAGATGGATAAAATCAAGTAGAATTTGCTGCTTAATTCATATTCCATCCATTTTCTAATCTGCTTAGCCTCACAAGGGTTGCAAGCCTATCCCAGCTGTCTTTGGGCAGTAGGCGGGGTAAACCCTGAACTGGTTGCCAGCCAGTCGAAGGCCATAAATAGACAACAATTCGCGCTCACACTCACAGCTAGGGACAATTTAGAGTGTTCCATTAACCTTCCATGCATGTTTTTGGAATGTGGGATGACACCAGAGTACCCGGAGAAAACCCAGGCAGGCACGAGGAGAACATACAAACCCTTAACAGGAAGGCTGTGTTAGGGTGGTTGTTTGTGACCTACAGTTGGCACTGTCGGGGTCTTCCTGCAGTGGCACACCTGTTGGTCATTGTGTCAGTAGTTCGTGTTTCTGTTGAAAGGACTCCCTGCCCAACCAGTCGGTGTCGGGTCATTGTGCTTATATTTTTGTTAAATACATCTTGTTAAGTCCACCTTGCTCGTCCTTGCCTCCCTACTTTTTGGGTTCCTCCAACTACCACCTCGCAAATCGGAGCCGGAATCAAACCCTGGACCTCTGCACTGTGAGGCCGGCGTGCTAACCAGTCACCACCTCCTATGCTGAATTCATATGCCACAAATGCAATTATCAGAATGCTGTGTTGAAATTTGTGGGGAACATGATTGCAAAGAAAAATTCAGAATTGACTTCCCGTTGAAAGTAACATTTTCAAAATGCAAAGGAATACATATAGAAACATTTCCAGGTAAGGGTTGGTCAGAGTATCACATCATATTGGAGTCATAGGCTTCCAGATTTCATATTAAAAAGGACCAAGTGAAAAGTGATATCATGTCTCTGATGTGTGTATCGGTGGGAACAACAGAAAGATGGAACAGCGGTATGAAGATTTATACCCAAGCCTCCATCACCCTGTTGTGTTAAAAGCCATAGTTCAAAAAGTATTGTGTGTCATATCAGATGTTGCCTTACCTCAAATTCATATCTGCAGCAGGCAGTGTCACCATGTGAAGATGCAAATGGACACCAAATTTCCCCATACACTGGGCTCCATGTGAAACAGGCATCCTATTTCTGCATCCTATAATGCTATCCTGGGTTTGATCAGCTGTCACCAAGAAGCCACTCCTTCATGATCCTGTCTGATCATGTTATTAATACCAGTGTGACGTATGGCACGGTAATTGTTTTCAGAGGAGCCGAACCGAACTCAAGAGTAACAATTACTGATAGCGGATTTTTACTTAAGAGATCAAGTTCAAGGTTCCTGGAATTGTGTATGTGATTTTATACCATTATGGATCATAAGGTCAGTGGAAAAATACTTTTTTAGATATAGCAGGATTTTTTTTTTTTTTTTTTTTGCTTCAAGTCAGAATGACTGTCAGGATAGGGAAGGATTTGTATTTACGGATGATCAAAGATTCTTCAAGAGGTTCCAACAACTTAACACACGATTCACCATTAATGACCGTGAAACTGGTAAATTAGTTTGGCTTATTTAAGCATAATATAGCGGGCATAAACCATCTGAAAATGGGTATGCCGTTTTGAATTATGCACTTTAAAATCAACACACTTCTACTACCAATGTTTTATTTCGGAAGAGATGTGCAAAGTAAAAAAAAAAAAAAACATAATCCAAAGCAATAAATAAAATCCTCTAGTTGTTAAACACATTGTGGATATTCTCTCATTATCCAATCATGAGGATGTGGTCAAATAAATTAAGTTCTAAATTTTACTGACACAGGGGTGAACTCAGTCACTACAAAGTCTGCCAGCCCAAAAGTGTGCACACAGAAAATAAAAAGGCGATTACACCACCCACATGTTTTCACCGATTAATATTTTTTTTCTATTTCCCCAAAAATAATGTGTGTAAAGGGACAGGGGGTGGGTGTTAGAAACACTGACAAGTAAGAAGAAATTAAATGATAGAATGCCATTTTATTGATGGAGACAAGCTCAAATGCAATTTCATAGAAACACGGACTACAGATCACATCGTCCTCATAGTTGCCATCATGGCCACCATAGAATAAGGTTCTCTAATCCAGAAGTAATGTAAAAGTATTAATTGAGGGCACACGGGGACATGGAGTCACCTGGACACAGCTTCGCTACTGGTTGGTCAACAAAGTGTCTTTCCCTGGCTGCGCTCCACTGATTGGAAACGTGAGGAAGAAAATGGGGAGCACGCCGTTTGGGGCTTTCAGGAACTGGCTCTGGAACAAGAGGAGGTGAAAAAGTTAAAGTGAATCACTTGGCACTGATGACAGATGAGGCGGAAAAGTCATGCTGGAGAGAGATGGCGAACGAGGATGAGCGCTGACGTCTGTTGGATATGATTGAGAACGTTATTAATGGCTTTACGGCCCTCAGGCCAACTCTTCAGGAACTATAACTCAAAATGAGAAGTAAAAGGGGATAACTGGAGTGTGGCTGATTCAAAGCACCCCAGTTCACAGGATTATTGAGCCCTCCTGGAAGCAATCAGGCAAGAGTGGGGCCTCTGCAGTCACCTAAGTCTGCTGAGCATTAGCAGGGGCACTTGAATGACGAGGAATTGTGGGAGGGGGGGGGGGACCCGATATGGCATTAATAATCTTGGATCAATGATGTTGCTGGCGGTACGCTGAAGAAGAATAGCAAATCTGTTTTCACGTGAACAAAGCTACAATGGACACACCCCACAAGTTGAAATCACAGGGACATGCATTCAATGAGAGAGATGTCCATGTTTTGAACCTGGGCGCAGATTTCTGACAGAACTAGCTGCCTGCTCTGTGCTGACGGGAACATACTTTAAACACATGGTGAGACTCCTGCCTTGCTCATTTGAGTTCAGCCAACACACATAACAGTGCTCCATAAACACTTACGTGAAGCTTAAAGCCGCTAATGTGAATACAAGAACAGTAAAGTCTTGTTCTGTACCGCTTAAACACTGAAATGCACTTCATTAAAGGAATGAAGACCATTGCAGCAATATCGAAGGCCTTCATTTAACTGCAGAAACACAGTTCAATGCAAAGTGCATTTGTATTTTTTTCTTGATAACTGTGACATTCATTCACGTTTCATACATTCAAGTTATTATTCGAAAGACAAATGCCAATACACTAAAAATAGATGCTTCAGGGTCATTAACTCATTCAGTACCAGCCAATTCTAGACAGCCCCTTTTTTTTACCCTAAATCTTGGAAAAATTGAAAAAAAATCTGGGGTTCGAACATGTTGGGTGTGAAAAGATAAATATGTCTTTGGGAGTGAATGAGTTAACAGACTACTGTAAGTGTCAACAATTCTTAATGTTTATGACACGCTGTGGAGCAGTGGCATAAGTGCAGAGCAAGAATTCTCGACATTTGGGAATGGATCAAAATATAGAGTGGATAGAGAAAGCTCAAACACCCCTGTATTTATTTTATTGTAGTGATTACGGCTTTTAATTATTTCAGAAAATTATCCCCCCCCAAAAAAAAGATGGTTAAATCCTGTATAATAGAACTGTAAAAGAAATGGAGGGGAAGTGATGTAGGTTTATAGTTCCCAATAAATATTGAAACCATAAAATTAATGCGTTCATGATGCGCCTGTTGATTTTATGACAGAACTCAGTCTTTTCACTCAAGAGTATGCCTGGATTTACACAGCAGGTCGAAGCGGCCAATTATGATGAAATGTCTTATTTGATTGTCAAGTTCCATCTACGTTTCAAGTGACATACGTCCGGTGGTGTTTACATTAACAGAACACGTGAAACAACCAACATGCGCAGGTGCCTAAATTAATCATGTTACTAATTCTACAAACGCCAACATCGGCCGGTGACAAAGTAAAGAAAAATACACATTAGCGTGACTGTTTAGTTAACCTTGGCAACAATATGTATCAGATTTGGATCCACATTTGCAAGAGGCCTGATTCTGATCTGAGGAGATGCAATTGCGTGCAGATTCCAGACAGATATATTGCTCTATCTTTGGGTCAAATTGGTGATGGAGTCTTGTTTTTTTTCCCCAAACTTGCTGATCGACCCCCAAAATTATTCATCCCTCACAAAAATCACCCAAAACTCTTTGCCTGTCATGACTTTTTTTTTTAACGTATCAAACAACATTTTTGAGTTTTCGAGGAATGACTCAAACTGTTGTCCACTGTTACGGTGCTGACCACGTGCATGTTTGCTCAGATTTGAAACGGTATGTATGGAAACACAATCGCATGACTGCTTTAAATCGCTCAGGTGGGTGCATGAAAACTCAAATTCAAATTGCAGTGATTGCAAAAGGCCATACGCCGAAGAGAACCGTCTGTGTGGAAAATACATGGAGAAATAATTACAGAGCTGTCAAGACATTTTCTTTTTGTGATGGCAGATGATATTTAAAACTCCTTTTCACCTCACATTGACACTAAGTACAAGCTGCACACTGATTGACCTTAATATAAAGTAAATGCAGGAAAGCTGGATTCTTCCACTTCATGAATCACGTTCAAAGACATTCAAGAATTTTTCCTTACCATATTCCAGTTTAGTAGTTGATCATCTTCTTGATTCCTTCAAAGCACTTCCACTTATCTGGGATGTAGAATGGTTCAAAAATATGAGGGAAGGGAGTGTCGTAACCACACACTCTACTAATCGGAGCCTCCAAATTAAGGAAACACTCCTCCTAAAAATAGAAAATGAAAAAGAAACAAATCAGTGTAAATTCAGAATTAAAAATGGCGTATGAAATTATGCATGCAAAGATGGCGTGTGTGTGTGTGTGTGTGTGTGTGTGTGTGTGTATATATATATATATTAGAGGTATCAAATTTCTAAAAAAAAAAATATATATATATATATATATATTTTTTTTTCCGTTGGAACTTCTCTCCGAATGCTTTTCATTTTATGAGGATGGCTACTACATCATTGTCATCTATTAGCATGGCACGCCTTGAGCCAATCCTTCCTTGCAAAAGGTCTCCAAACTGATGCGACTCGAGATGCTTTGTGAGCTGGAAAAGCACCATCTGCTACCGTGGACGCTCGCACAACAACATGCAACGTATTAGGTAAGGGACAGAAAGCGGAACTGGCTCAGATGGTCGCCACACGCGAGTCTGTAAACAAATACAGTACTGTAGTACTGTACTGCTAAGCCTCTGGCTATAATATATGGCAATACAGTACAATGACACACACACACACACACACACACACACACACACACACACACACACACACACACACACACACACACACACACACACACACGCACGCACACACACGCAACATACATAAAGTATACCATCAATTGTTTTATACTAAATAAATAAATGAAAAAAAGAACCTGTACTTTGTTAACTGCCATTGGGATTATCGGTAATTTAGGTCTTCTAGCATAAAGCATAAACCTTACATTCAGTAGTGGCTTCATAAATTTGTTTAGCACTGTATGTCATCATGAAACCATTTCTTTTGATGCAACGGGTCAGAAGAAAAGAGCATCGAGCACGTAAACGTCACCGCCCTAGTAGTGTCCCATCTGTGTTATGACTCGAGTACTACGTTTGAATACAGATGTCCAAAGCTAAATGCTTCACCTTTTTTTGTATTTTAAATTAAATGTAATTAATGTACAATGAATCCGGATAATGGGTTGAACACACCCTCCTTTTCATCACTTTCTTTGCCCTCAGCCTTTGGATGGAAGACAACTTGGCGGATTCTTTCCAACAGACTGTGGTAGATCCAGACAGTAAGCCAAAATATACGAGTAAAACTGGAAATCTATTTTCCAACTTTTTCTTTTTCACTTTGCTTAAGAATGTTGCATTTAGTGCAAAAAAAAAAAAAGACAATAAGGGACAGTGAAATAGCTTTCTGTTTGCGTTCTCTGCTTGGAGACAGCAGATATTCAGAGCATACCAAAATGTGCTGCATGAAAGCATGATGTGAAATACAAATTGGCGCAAAACTGGCCATTGATTACTGATCTATACAATTTAGCAGATATAAGTGCACATGTCCCTTAGCCTGAGCTGTTTACATGCCACATGTAGTTATATTAATATGATGACTTGATTGCAAGGGTGCCCAAACCTTTTGGACCGAAGATAGACTTTTCGATCAACCAACCTCCTGCGATCAACCCGTTACCGCGCACGCACATAGACACACACGCCATGATGAGCAACAGCCTGACACGGAGGCATGCGACGCACTTTTGCAGCCTGTTAACTATGGTAGCTTACACGTACCATTTTAAAGTGCTTCTCTCGGCCCTCCAGATTCCTATTCTTTGCCCGTGCCCTCGGTGAATTGTACATGAAACAAATTCTGAATGAGAATAATGATAACGATAAAAGATATAGCGTAACAGCTCTGATCACAAGCTGCAATTGCAGACTGCTGAGCGCTAACAACTTCCGGTGACGCAGGTCACGTGCAACTGTAGGTTCAAGATTTACCTGCTTTATTTTATTTTATTTTTTTAATACTTTTTGTGAAAACGAGACTGATAGGATGATTAGGGTGCAGTGTACATTAACACAAAAAATATGTTACTAACATGCACAAAGACACACAAATGGTGGTTTGCTTTTTTTCTCCTCTCCACTCGCGATCGACTTGGGAACAGTCCGATCGCGATCGACGTAATGGGCACCCCTGCTTTAGAGCATAATGGGAGCATCACACTTTGCTTTAACCGGTTAGTTGCTCATACTACCAATCATAGTGCTGTGTTAAGGCGCAAGCGCACTGTTAGGAACAGTACCAAGACCCACTCTGGCAACATTCAATAAAATTGACAGCCATTTACATACAGTTACACTGAAATTGATTGTAATTTGCATTGTGTGCATCGATATGCTTCAACTGCTTTCGGATTGAGTATTTCCGATACAGGAGCTATATTTCTTAGCTGGTCACTCAGTCAAGGCAAATCAAGCTCAAACTCACACAACACCCTTGTTGTGTCACGTACTGTGCTTGAGCATGTGCACACGCTTAATCTAACAGCCATTAATCATTTTGAATACTGTATATTTAGAATGAAATCTTAAAATTTGACGGTCGAACCATTGACCTTAGAGCAGTAGTTCAATGTCGTTTGAACTAAGATTTGAAGCACTTACTACGATCTGGAATTTTTAAGCATACTACCCGGTAACTGTTTTTAACTACTTCAGACAATGGAAATAGAGCCGTAGTGTACACGAGTGAACTGAGCCTGAAGCAAATAATGTGGTGTCATAGACTTGGAAAGTGACATCCATCTTTATGAGCATTGCAAAATCCCTTTGGAGGGGCCAAGAGAACTCAGTGGGGGAGAAAGAGCCGATATGTTTTCTGATAACATGCAACCAGTCAGACAGTAACAAGGAGTCTGTCTGGTCTGTTTGCACTGCGTGCAATCTCCTCTAAAAACATTGCTGCATTTGGGAGTAAAGTACTGTACTCTGACTGCCAGCCACCACAGCTGGACAGAAGAAAAGCCACACATCTCAAATTACATTCAAATCAGTATTTACATTTTGGGAAGTGCATCCATATATTACGACTAAATATATGAATACTGTACACATGATTTTAATAAGGCAGTTGCAAATGTGTGTATCCACGAGTGGAACAGGATTTAAAACAATTTAGTCAGGGATGTTTTTTGCAAGGGATGCACCAACACCACTTTTTTCCAGACAGTGTACGAGCACAATTATATAACACAGTATTCCCTTAAAATCGATAGCCACTCACTTGTACTGTAGAGCTGATTTCAGCAGCAAAGCCTCCAGTGATTGGGGCCTCATGGCTAATGAGCAACCGTCCGGTTTTCACCACTGACTGCAATACAAAGACAGAAAAACAAAAAGCATTACTGCACATTCTCTACACAAAAAGACATTCAGCCGTATTAAGTATTTGGACAGTAAAACGTATTTCTCTCCAGATATTTAGATATTTATAGCTTCATTTATTTAAAAAAAAAGTGTTGTTTTATCATCTGCAAATCACAGAAACCTTCATTTGCACTGCTCGTTGCAAAACATTCCTGACAAAATTCACCCCAAAATGTTTACATGAAGATAACCACTTACTCTCATACTTAAGAATGAGCTCAGTAAGTAAAGGCCCTTGAAAGTGATCTGCAAACAAACTCAACCAGACAGTATAAGTGATTGTTGGGAAGGTGGACAGGGGAAAGTTTCGTCAGAACGCAAACAACTATCTGCATACCAAAAAAAAAAAAAAAAGTCACCCGTGTTTCGTGTGTGGTCTGTGTGACTCTTGTGCATGAGTCCGTATGATGGATGTGTTGGTGCAAATGGGCAGATTAGAAGGACACGGGATGCACGATGCTGTAAACTGATGTTACCAAGTCAGGGTGGATGATAGACAGCATAGTTCAGCATGCTACAGAAGCTTGCTTCACTTGCGTTGTGTGTCTGTCCATTTAACTGTGTGTAAAGTGGATATGATAGAACTGCATGAACTTCAGGGTTTATTTAGGCTGGCGCATAGAGTTGAAGGGACAACTATGGACATTAGAGGTCTCAGCCTTCCAAGCACAGGCATTTGGGTTTTCTATAACCTGCCATTATCCCATGAGGATGCCTCGGCTCCACAAGTTATCTGTCACAGAATAAAACCAATACTAGACTATAATCTCATCCACTTACCAATGGTAGAGGCCAATGCTATGTCTGTTCCTTGCAACTCGAGAAAACACTGTAGTCTTTTTCGAACGGTTCCATTTAAAATTGCTTTTATGACAAGTTTGAACCGGAATGGCACCCGGTGGAGCGCAGACCTCCACCTTGAACCCTGTGCTCGCTACATAAAATTTATCAATGATGGAAGCTCCTGCCTTGTGATTTATATTTGTCAAGTTTGCATTTAAATCACATCATGTTTCAAATGATTAGGCGTCTGGTGTTTTTGTTCATTATCCTAAATAGCCCAAATAAAATACAATTTTTTCATCATCAAACAATCATAGCATCCATAACAAAGTTACTGGATGTGGTAAAATATGAGACCCAATTCAATACCAACTGCCTTCAATTGAAATTATAAATCCATGAACAATTTCTGCCTTTTCCTCATTTGAGGATGCAAGACTTTCCACCCAACCCACTAAAACTTTGATGCTAATGCCAAACCATCGGGAGCAGCAGGGGGACCTAATAGATAAAACAACAACAACAGCAAAAAACTCACGAGAAAATGAAATGGCAATTTCACTCATCTCGCATGGATGCATACTGGAAAAGTCAACATACCAAAAAAAAAAAAAAAAAAAAAAACCTCTTCAAACACCAACACCATCGATGGGTCGTAAATTACTGAACAGCGCCCAACCCTGAACAATTTTTAACAACCTGCTCATTGCGGAGGCCAAGAGCCCCACCCTCAAAAATCTCTAAATCTCTTAACGGATTTGCACTTATCTCAAGAATGGCCATTTTGGTCCAAAGAAGACAGAAATCTGCTGATCGGCAGAAAATTCGCATCCCTGCCTTAAGCAAAGTGAATACTTGACTTCCCCTTCCATTCATTTTACATTAATTATACTCGTGTCAAACTAAGTATCATACCTTTTTATATATTCCTCAGAAATACTAAAACTAAACGTTTCACTAAAATCCTAAATGTTCCAATTTAATCATTTGTAACGGTATAATTCTTCAAATACCTTTGGAAAAAGAAGAACCTGACACCGCTTTTAAAATACTATATGCAGTATGAAATTCCCCGAAAATGTTTATTTCTTCAAGTTAACTTCCATTTTCCGGCTAGTTTTGCAAGTGTTTATGAATGGTTGTGTGTGCGAAGTGATAATTTATGGTTTATAATCTGACCCAGCGCTCCCTAACCACTGGTCTGCGGGCGTCGCACAGAGATACCAAAAAAATCAAATTAAATAATAAAAATCATAATTTTAGAGATGTATATACGCCACTCCCCCCCACAATCCCCAACCCCATTGATTGCAATAATAGGCAGGACTAGGTGATTATATGATCCAGAATTGAGATTTTACAGGGACCAGCTGTCAACATATTTACTCAATCAAATGTGGCGGAATCATGCGTGACAGCAGCCAATCAGAGTCCAGCTTTTCCTTCTCTCGTTTAGTTTGCAAATTGAAGAAGTCAACAGAATGTAATAAACCCCAACCAAACGTGCAGCTGATGGGCAGCCATGACTTGGAACTATCTTCCGAAGATGAAGCTATTTTGACAAGAAAAGCTCCTCAACGTCACTTGTGTGTCGAGATTTCCAAAGCAATGTACAGTAAATAAAAACGTTGTGCAAGGTAAGTCCACAAAAAAAGTAAACACAACAATCCCATTGAATCATTTGAACAAGAACTACACAAGCGATGATGTGGAAAAGATGACTAAGTGAGCGGAGTTTGCACAGCCTCTCCACGTAGCATTGCTACTAACTAACTTTTCAGTCACCTGACCAAAACAGTAATTAGTGGTGTCATCTTTTGACAATACACATTTGTATATCATTTAAGATGGTGATGAAGCCACAGGAAAATATCTGGACACAAGTTGACCTGTTTGATGGCTTTAAAAGGGGAAAATGTGATGTGTAGACTGAGGAAAAAGGACCATGAATACACAAACATAAAAACGCAAGCCCCCATGCAGACCTTACAATAGTAATTGCGCTACAGAGATGTACACAACTGGCAAAGTTGCACTGAAATTAAGAATCAACTGTTGTAGAGATCAATGGAATGGGGAAACTATTGGAATGTCTGCTGCTTTTGGTGTGCATTGTTCCATAGCCTATGGCAACTAGCTAAGGATGATCCCCGCCTCTCGTCCAAAGTCAGCTGGGACAAGCTCCAGGCTCAACCATGATACAAATGAGGATATGCGATAAAGAAAATAGATGGATAGACAAATGTTCGAAAGCACATGCCAGAGCAAGGAAGGAGCTGGAAAAGGTGGTGGTGGGTGGTGAGATATGTGTCTTCATCTTAGTTTTTGTTCTGTGCAAGTCAGCAAGAGTGGGTAGAGTGGTACCAAAGATCCTTTTTGGCTGTCCTAACCGTCCATTGCAGTCTGATTGTGTACTCCTTTGTAGCAGCACCAACACAGACTGTGATGGTTTAGCATAGAACTCATTTGATGACAGCTGCAGTAGCAGGAAGTATATCCTCTGCCGGGCCTGTTTGAGGATGGAGTTAATGGTGGCCTACCATCTCCGGTCATGATAAAAGTGTAAATCACAGGAACTTGAGAGTCCCGAGTCTCTCGATGATTGACAGTTGTACAGCACAAGTGGCAGCTGTGAAGAACGATGTTTCTTGAAGCTGACAATCATCTTGACAGTCTTGAGCGTATATAGCTTCACATTGTGCTGTCTGCACAAGAGAACCAGCCACGCCACTTCTTATTGCTATGCAGACTGGCCGCCATTGTTGATGAGGCAGATGACTGTGGTGTCATCTGCAAACCTCAGGAGTCATTCATGTAGAGAAAAAGCAGTAGGCCCCGGTGCTGATGATGCATGTGGACAAATTGTTTTGCCCTTGCCTCACCTGCTGTGGTCTGCGTGTCAGGAATCTGTAAAGATGGCAGGATAAACGCTGCTGAGCTGGTGAGGCATGGTGGAGAGGAGCTATGGAATAATGGCGTAGAAAGCAGAGCTGAAGTACACAGAGGGGAAGCTCGCATAGGTTCCTATGCCATTGAAGTGTCCAGAATGAAGGGCAGCCCCATATTGACTGCATCACCCACAGACAGTATTTCCTCGATAAGCAATAAGATTAATGCGTTCCTGAGTATATTCTCCTGTTTGCACTTATCTTAATTTCTTACACTTTCAAGGTGCGACGATTCTCCTGTCTAAGCTTGTGATACACCCACCAAGCATAACCTGAGAATCCATGTGCAACCACCGAAGAGGTGTGACCCATTGAATTCTGAGGATTCCTGCAAGTCCCGGATTGTGGAGTTTTCCTGAGACATCTGCTTTCCATAGGGATCAATTTAGAAAGTACGGTATGTCACACTTTGAATGTGAAACTGACTTGCTGAGTAGATGCTTAAATTATACCGATTGTCATCAGTGACGTGCGTTGCTCATCTAGCATTATACTTTGAAGGAGCATTTTTATTTGCACACTGTACTTAATAAATATAGCAAAATGAATTTAATCAGAGTTCTGTGCTCATGACTGAATGCATATTTGGAGCTATGTCATTAAGAGAAAAGTGAGTGAGCCAGCCGCTGCTTAAGTGTTGCCTAGCAATGCATCACGTCGATGAATTTTATGACCGGCACATATAATAATGAATATTCAAAAACTACCTGACCACTGTCATCATGACAGTGCCTAAAGATGTTGTTAGTGGTGCTTTCAGGCAAACTCCAAGCTGCCAGCACGAGTCAGAAGCTGCCGTTCTGTCACGTGGCAGTCAACAGCCGAGTACAGAAACGGTTAATTGAACCAAAATGTGCAATATGATATGAAGCGCTAGTCCTTATTACAGCCTCGTGAGAGCGGAAGAGACAAGATGATTAAATCTCTGGGTGAATACGCATACCGCAAGATTTGACATGGAACACCCTCATTTCAAGGTCGCTCCACCCAGTTTGCGTTTCATGAATGTGCATAAATTCAGTGTGTCTTTTCTGACTTAAGAACATGGGAGAATATGACCCTAAATAAATAATAAGTAACCCGAATGCGTTACTGGTACAATCCTAAGGCGTTTTTCTATTTGAAGTCACAGAACAGCCTGACCGCCGTTGCTTCTCCATCACCACAGGGACTAATTGTTTGGGGCGGGGTCAACTGAACTATGTGAGCCTCC